CACGTTTTTTTTTATGACGATAATCTATTTTCTTAGGTTTTGTGGTAAAATGCATGCTTGTGGCATTTCTTACATGAAGCATAATTGTATTATTTTTAGAATAGCAACTTTATAGTGATTTTAATGTACAAAAGGTAAAAATACACGTTTTGGAGTTTAAGAGCCCGAATTTTAGTTGTAAATAAAAGAATACTAGAAGTACCAATAAAAATATACACTTTTGATAATACCAATATGCGATTTTTTATAATAATAATAATAATAGTAATAATAATAATAATAACTATAATAATAATAATAATAATAATAATAATAATAATAATAATAATAATAATAATAATAATAATAATAATAATAATAATAATAATAATAATAATAATAATAATAATAATAATAATAATAATAATAATAATAATAATAATAATAATAATAATAATAATAATAATAATAATAATAATAACAACAACAATATTAATAAAAGAGATTTTGTAAATATCAGTCTAACTTTTAGTGCCCCCTCTTTCGACAATACTGGTTTAATTAATATCAGGTGACAATCTCTCTCCCCCCTCCTCCCCCCACCCACCCCCCCACCCCCACCCCCTTACGACAAACAAAATAACACTTCCAAGTCAGGGAGTCATTGAAGACGCCCACCCATACACCGGGCGTCTAAGCTATTACGTTTTTAGGTAATAGAAATGCCGACTTGGGTCAACTTAACCTTAATTAACTGTCAAGTAGGCTGCATTATAAATCAGTATGGCGTTGTCTACAAATAAATCCGGCTGGCGGTCTACAGTTGGCCCTAGTATGACAGAGGTCTATTCACCAAACACAACACACGATCACGTGACCTTGTTAGGACTTGAACACAGAGAATTGCGTGCGACAGTGTAACAGTCAACACGCTCTGACACTTTAGCTGACGCGAAATTAACGTCACAAAACTTACAGTGTGATCATTCTTCTGATCTATTGATTTAGCGTACAGCTAATTTGCGTGAAAAAAACAACAATGCACAATGGCCCTCAATGCTCAAGCTTTGTCTATTCGATCAATGAAACACATAATTGTTGGAATTTTCTATTTGATCAAAGTCCATAAATGAAGGCTAGATCTATATCAGTTTTGTCACAAATAAGGAAGAAAATAAAAAGAGATTTTTTTTTTTAAATTGTCCCGTTTCAATGTTTAGCGATGTTTTGGGTGATACTTTCTATAGCCCTTGTTTGTTAGACTTTTAAGAAATCCAAAATATTAAAAATCTACAACCGTAGACATATTACACAGAAATATGGTGAAAACTGTCGTAAATCGTAAACACAATCAAACAAATTGTCTAAACAGTTTTATGAAGAACAAAGTACATACAGATTTGTCGTACCCACGTTACTTGTTTATGTTCGGATACTAAACTCCAAGTTCTAACCTTGACCCCTAAGTTAATGACTATGATATTATAGGGCTGGTAAGTAGGTCACCAACCAGTTCTACGGCTCAATAAAACCTACATGAGCCATATAACTGGTTGGTGACCTACTTACCCGACCTATTATCGCACACACCATGTATGCACACAGGCATATGTCAGTAAAACACGCTGGCAGATTGAGGGATCAGGGCTAACATGGCAGAAGCAAGAGGCCCCGATTTTATGGGCCTCTAAATTTTCTCGTATATACTATAGTAATTTTTTAACTTTCCTATCGACTTCTTGATTTTTACTACTTAAGTGAACGTTTTATTGTTTATATCATAGGCATATTAAAATTATTCAATTAGCTAGTAAACAAAAAAAAAGTAACCCCCCCCCCCCCCAACGCCATACCTTTGCTAGAAACCAAATGTATTAAATGAGGAAGTACGAGTTATCAAACCAGTTTTGTTTAGAAACGACATAGCTAGTTCCGCGTGATAAAAAGTTACATTTCTCTCAAGGGGTCATCCATAAATGACATCACGCTTTTTTAGACGATTTTTACCTCCCCCCTCCCCTCCGTCACACGTCGTCACAAAAAGCCAGACCCCCCGCCCCTAAAATGACGTCACACCTCAACCTACAACCCCCCTCAAAATTGCAGTTGATTTTTTTTTAAAACATCGATATTTTTCCAAAATCTTGTCTAAACTATTACAATTTATTAAAACAGTTATCTAAAAAGCGGAATAACGTCTAAAATTCGTTTTCTAACATTGCTTTTTTATAATGCAAAAATGTTACGTCGCAACATCTGAACCCCCTCCCCCTTATCACACATCGTCACAAAATTACGGACCCCCCACCCCCTATGAGTGTGACGTCATTTATGGATAACCCCCAATCAAACAAAGTAGATTTAATCGGGCTAGCAGCTTCGTGTGATTCTAGGCTTCGTGATCAGACCATTGTGGGGCGCCAAATAGGTAGAAAAAAATGACAAGGTAATTTTAAGCAGCAATATTGAATGATACATAACCATAGTTAAGGAAATAATCGACTACAAGGTTTTACGATCAGATTCAACTGTTTTTTTAAGTTGATTGTGTAATATAAAGCCAAACCAAAAATAACTATTAAAAAAATAATTGAGTTTTTCTACGGGACTATTTCATGCCTTAAATATCTACTTATATGTGGACAGCGTGTAAGAAGCCGTAAGAATGAAGCCGAATTGAAATTTAAACTTAGGTCTAGGATTAGAGCTCCGCTTTAAAACAAAGATGGTTTTACAATGTGTTAATTTTTGTCACGCGCAGTGTTTAATTTAATGCGTTACAATGCGTAACAATGCATTATTAGCTATCGGCAATAGCTTTAATGATATAACTGGTTTTTTTTCTATTTGGTTCCAACACTATTGTCAACAATCTAATTCGAGAACACAAGTGATAAATAGACTTAAGCTGCTTGCTAGGTCTGCCAGGTCTGTCGGAGAAACTCGATTCTAGATGTAATATCTAGGCCTACAAAAACACTATAAATAATTGAGTTTTAATGCGTTATTAGCTTCGGCTCTAGCTTTAATGGTATAACTGTTTATTGTTTCTATTAGGTAACATTCGAATAGGTTAAATTAGGATATAATTTAATTAAAACAAGATTTTATTTTATGATTGCGGAGATTATGCTAAATAATACAAAATATTTCATCAATTGATATGAAATTCCAACACAAGATGATAACTCGGTGGTTAATCACAGAGGTGGCATAATTATTATGACTCTGATTCAGATTAAGTGAATCACAGGTTTTATTTTGAAAGTTTGTTGCGCATACATACGGGACGTGCGACCGCCACCCGCGCGCAGCGCTGTTTGATATAAATATTTGTTTCTTAGCAATAGAATCAGTTAATTAAATGAGGATATAATTCAATTAATCAAAAATAATATTTGGCGTAATTTTACTTTATGTTTTAATGTGACCTTCAAAACTTTTACGGAGGGTATTTAAAAGAATAGGAAAGTATTATTATTTTCACATTAGTTTTAACAATTAATCCTTGCGTTATTTAGCGTCCTAGGCAAAACTTATTAAAACACCCCTTTTCACACAAAGTAATTTTGAAAATATTTATAAGAAAACAATAAATTCAAAGTGACATATAAGTTTATTATCAATTGTATAAACGTTACAAAAATCAAAATTTAATTTTTCGTGCCTTCTTCCTCGAAAATTATTTAACTAATTCCTTCACTTACAGTGTCGAAGTGTAGTCACATTGTATTGAAATGGATGCCAATTTTTGTTGTACTATATAGAGAAGCACATCTGATTGTAACATAGGTCTTAAATTAAAAGCTTTCGAGCTACTACTTGAAGCTAATTGCAAAGATCATCAGCATCAATATCTTTATTAGCGCTGTGTATACGACGTTCCTGAAAGTTTGCACTCAATAAGTATATCTACAGGTGACTTTTATTTGATATTAAATATATCATAAAGGAAGCCAAATAGAATATTATGTTATTTTAAATTGTTGGAACTTCTCGTAACTAGATTTTATTAGCCATGTCCAAGCTAATGAAGTAGAATTCTAATAGAGTTTCTGTTTGGGATTTTGTGGTGCCTCGCCTTGAGCTTCATATTCAAATTTCCGGTTATGTCTCCTTCTCCTACATTCTACATTAGCTAAAATTTGATAAAAACAGCGGCATCCTACATTTTATAGAAAGAAATCGATGTTTTCAAAAGAAAAAAAATACATTTAAACTGAGGTGTAACTCATTCTATATAGATGTGATATGACAAAGTTGCTTTTTAGATGAGGCGGTACACTGGACAAGTGAAGTAGAGTTCAGCCGAAATAGGTGATTTTGAAAGACAAAAACATGTTTTCTTAAATGTGACCTCTTTAGATGTGGGGATCTGACTTTTTATGACGATGTGAAACATTGGGAGAGAGAGAGAGGGATGTAAATGGCTCAACAAGTTTGACGTTATTTATGAATGACCCCCTTAACCCACAGTTATCCAAAGGATAGTGGGTAGTCTAGTATATATTTTTTGGGGGACGACGGCGAAAGTTGGCCGCGGACACCGATTTAAATAAAAATAATTAGGCCTTCCTTGTTTTCTTCACATCGCTAATCACATATTTAAATTAGTTATCTGATTTTTAAAATTTTATTTATAATTAATGGCAACAGACAGAGGGGTAGCAACCCCTCCCGGCGCCCGGCGTTAAACTTTCAATTTGGCGCCCCCCCCCCCCCCCCTCATATATTTTTAATAATTATAATTTTAAAAAAGCAGCTGAATGAGCTTATTTTGGCGCCTCTAGGGTCGGCGTCCGGAGACATATGAACCTCATCTCCCGCCCTCCCCCCTCCCCCCACCCCCCCCCCCCCCCCGACTCTACGCTCAAACAACAAACATTCTTTAATTAGTCAAATGATAACACCTGCTGCACGTTATTAATTGATTGGACCAGTATGAAATGGAACAATCGGCAATAGACCTTACAATACAATAATTTATCAAAACTTCCGGTTATAGCTTTTGCAGTAAGAAACGAATGAAAAAAAACTTTCATGAATAGTTTTTGAAGTTCGGCTTAGCTTAAACTATTATTAACATTGCTCAAAGTGCTCAAATATATTTTATTTATATTTCAAATTTTGGATATATAGATCTAGATCTACTTTCTTTCTTTTAATATTTCTGAAGCAAGGTAAACTTTCTTCTATTATCAAAAATAGTTAGAAAATCTACTACTCAGTTGAAAATGAAATGAATCAATGAATGACTACCGCGGGTGTCTGGTTACACAAAAAAAAAACAACAAAAAAAAAACAACACATTTGCCCGCCCTCCCACTTTTTTGCCGAAATTTCGGCCTACTAATTTAATTAATTAAGTTATAATGCAGAGATCTAGACTCAGTTTTGGGGTAATTTTTTTTAACCTGTGTCCGATAATAGAATCTTCTTAAAAAAGGGGGTGGTTAGGCCTACTGAGTTAGTAAACTGGTAAAAGACACACATCTTGCTAATGAATCAATGATGTTGTTAAGCTTAACACTAACTGCTACCTAACCCTATCCATAACCCCCAATCCTAGTCCTATCATATCATATGCCATACACCTAGGCCTAACCCTAATTCCAAACCATAAATAAAACTAATTGAGTTTACAATATTACTAACAACCTACCACACCTATTATTGGACATCAGTATCTTCAATCATACCAGGTTTTTATTAAAATTATAAACACACGTAAATTATAAAAATTTATAGAAAATGTGCAAAACTACTCTAGGCCTACATGTCAACGTTAAGAGTTTAGAATACTTTACTAAAGTAACTTTAGGTTCAAATGCCCTAGCCCAGGGGTTGGCAACCTTTTGAGGCGGAAGAGCCAAAAATTAAAATTTACAATATTTCCCAGTTTTCTTTGTCCAATAATAGGTGTGGTAGGTTGTTAGTAATATTGTAAACTCAATTAGTTTTATTTATGGTTAGGAATTAGGGTTAAATTAAATGGGTTTTTGTATGAAATACTATTTATGCATATAAAAATATACACCTGTTTTCGCATAAAACATAAAGTATTTTTGCTAGGATAATAAATTCAAATTATATAACTATAGCACTATCCTACCCAATTCAGAAGCTAATAACTAAAAAATCTATGTCACTAAGGTGAAATTAATGCACACTGACACATAAAAAATGCCTTCTGCATAAAATAATAATTACTATTGAAAATATTCAACAAAAAAATTGCACTTCGGTAGTGGAAAGCACGGTACCACTGCAACAGGGCTGGCCACAGCACAGTTGTGTTTCTGGGCTTTGTGCGCAAGCAGGTGGCAGCTGTCTGTATACGCTCTACTTCACCAATTCTCATTGTTTTTATCTTCTTAAAAGTTTTTTTTAAAGTATATTATTTTTATTAGTTATGAAAATAATATAATTATTATGGAACTGGCGAGCCACATCCCTGACATCAAAGAGCTGCATGTGGCTCGCGACATGACATTTCAAGATCTAGATATAGCGTCTAGTCTAGATTCTAATTCTATATACTACTAAATAGACAGATTCTAGCCAGAATGTGCCTGTGCATAGCGCTACAATTACCCGGTTTTTCTTGTCATCTAAATGTTCGCTATTTAGGCCTGTGTATTGTCTTGATGAGTTAACACAATAAATAATTAAATAGTAGATTTAAATAAGCTATTAAAATAGATTTAAATATAAACTTTGTTATACTTAATTTATAGATTAGATTTCTTTACTTGATATACTATAACTATATACTATAAACCCATAACCCCTGATGACCCGCCCGCAGCGCATTGCTCAACCACACAGTAGAGATTATTTTGTCAGAAGAATAAGGCTTAGAAGGTCATTTGATCTCATTGCGCAGCTATAGAAAGGATAATTTGAAGCCATTGTGCAGCTATTAATACTATTCAATTTGCGCACATTGCACAGTTGTTAAAGTCATTGTTTATTGCATCTTCTGCCGGCCAGAGTAACTCTGGGGGAAATAATATTCCTCCGAGTTGTCACTTTATAGTAAACAATAGACTCACAAGAAAAAGTAAACAAGGACTTGCTGGACTGTCTGTGAGTGGCTAAAAATTTCAAAGTTAAACAACTGCTGCCTTGTAGTTTGTTCTTTGGATAGACAAAGGCTGTGGAAACAAATCCAAAAAGCAGGCTGTAATGTGAGTTAACTGCCTACATGCACCATAACAAGCTGACATGTAATACTTAATTGTATTGGAGGAAATCCCGTCCAACATGACTATTATTTAAGAATGAAGAGGAAGAAAGAAGAAAATAATATAGATCTAAAAAAAATAATTTCCCACTGTGATAGATTTTATTACATTTTTTATTATTAGCAACAGCTTTAAAAAAAATATGCTAATAAAACACAGTAGTCTCAGCTAAATTGTTTCTTGTACAAGTACAAGCCTTTTGTTACTTAATACAGGCTGAGTAGGTCACACAAATTATTGTATATGCTTTCAAAAAATAGTCCCACAGTTAGTGAAGTATTATTAGTATGTATTGTACAATACTGTATTATGAAGATTAATAAAGTATAAGCCTGTAGTGTTCAGTCATCTACTTTGTCACTTAGTAATTAAAAGGATAGACCTCTTGCATAATTAGTATTAAACTAACAAACGCATCCACATCTACATTAATAAATATCAATAAGGTTTAAACAAAGGTCTTTTACTTTTAGTAAATTTTAAAGCTAGCTGAAAACTAATTGTGACATTTTCTTGCCCTCTCTATCCCAACATTCCTACAATGATCTGATAACTCTTATTTTACTTGTATAAGTGAACTGTTTAATTTGAAATCAGTACTTATTTCTAAAATTGCTTAAAAAAATAAAATCGACAGTAAAAAAATGTGCATACAGTGTTGAAGAAAGAAATGATTTTTTTTATTTCAGTCAAGAATAACCTTTAAGTTAATACAAAAATTTTTGATGTTTTTACTTTCTCGTATATACGAAGTATAGAGAAAGTATTGTAATCGTGCACAAAAATCACTTGAAATTTTAACAATTTTCACCGTATTACACCTCAGTCCTTCATCACATCCGAAGTATAGAGGACTTATTTTAATCGGGCAAAAATTATCAATCCAGATTAATCAAAATTAAGAGGTTTTATGCGTAATCCAGTCTGAAAAACTGGGCTTTGCAATTCTGTCCGTATGTCTGTGTGTGTGTGTGTGTGTCCGTGTGTAAACACGATTACTTGAGTACCGTTACAGCTATGTTGATGAAATTTCATATATAAGTATTTTATCAAAATCGTAGATCCGTATCAACTTTTGAGCGATTTCCGATAACCGGAAGTGGTACTTTTCCTACTTTGAATTTTTCAAAAGCCTATAACTTGAGTACTATTTCAGATAGATTAATGAAATCTCACATGTAAGTAAAAGATCTAATTCTCTACCTTCTGTTAAATTTTGAATAATTTCCGTTGACCGGAAGTAGTAATTTACGCTACTTCCGATTTCTCAAAAAACTAAAGTAAATTTTTAAAGTACTAATAATATTGCGCGCTATTGTGCACTTTTTTATTTGGCGCTCACTAGTTCACTCGGTGTGCAATTCTTTTGTCTACGAGATTTTATTCTATTTTTAAAGCTTTAAGTATTTAAAATGGATTAAAAATCATGTCTATAGCCCGAGTTCCCATTCCCTGTTATTTTATATAAGAATATTCGAGAAAGTTTTGGGGAGATCACTCCCGGTTTATTTAAGCCTGGTTTGTCTCAGTTATATTCTTAATTGTTTGTTTTTCCAAAATTAATGTTTCTTTGCAGCCTAAAATACTAAAATAATAATATTTGGGGAATAAAAGAACAAACATGTAGGATCATGTTATTACGTAATGATTCTATTTAAAAAATGTAATCTTGACTGAATTATTTTCTGTACTTGCATACATTCACACAACTAATCATGTAGTAACAAATCAAAGCCTGTTAACAATAAAAAGGCTAATTAAACAGAATATTTTAAACTCAAAGTTTATAATTATTAATTTGGTGAGATTTTTCAGTTCATTTAACAAAAATTTAAACATAAGTAGATTTTCAAAAATATTTACAGGATTGTAATTAAATCATTTAATGCAAGCCTATGTATTGTGTTTTAAAGGTGGTTTGTTTTTATATTGGATAGAAAAGGCTGCTGTGATCATGAGTCCTTTTGATTATGAGATGGAGTGGTTGAGTACATGCTAACCTGAAAGTCTTGTGTTCAATTCTCAATCCATAGTCCTTTATTTTCCTCTATGTCCACCAAGCTCCTGTGTTTTAATAACAATAGATTACTTTTGAATACATATTTCATACTGTTTAAAATAATGTTTCTGCCGCCTTACCCCCCCCCCCCCCCCCCCCCCCCCCGTTCCTCATCTCTGCAATTATGAATGGATGCCTGAAGTAATTTGGTTCAGAAAGCTCAAAATGGAAAAAGTGACTTCACACTGTGATGATCACACTACCTCCTTTATCTTGTATACTTTATCACTTTGAAGAAACATTTAACTCAACTTCATCTGTCCTGTCAGACTATCAGGCATGATAGTAATCCTTACAAACATTTAATCTTTGAAAAGATATGTTAGGAGCTTGAGCCAAATCATTTTACCAATCATTAGATAAACTAGAATTTATTTCAATACAATAGTTCTTTTTGAGTACCAGCTGGTCAATACAACATCATTTCAGCTTATTTTCCACATTCAGCAGTCTGCTATACAATTATATAGTGAATTCAGTGATTGTTTTTTTAAATAGGATTTAATTAACATAAATAAAATATTTACCATTAACCTTGTATTTACCTAGGTGGAACATAGCTATTGAAACTTAACCCACTTCTACTAAAGAGATTTATTTATTAATCACCAAAACTTGATATGAACTTTGACTTAATTAGATGTTGCTTACATTTTAAAAAATAATTAAAGTACTAAACATTTTTTTTTGTTAGGCAGTTTTTTTATATATATATAACTACAAATTCTGAATGTGTGAGTTGCTCAACAACTCTTGTAAAGGTGTTGAATTGCAAATGATAAACACTACCACTTTTAGCAATATGTGTCTACCATTGTATATTTAATGTTAGTGAGCCTCTCTATTGACTAAAATTATGTAGGCCTAATCCTTTGTAAGACTATAATATATAGATTTATTACGAAAGGGCCTACAAATCCCCAAACTTTCCAGCACACATTTTACTATACTCATAGCCATCCATGCTATAGATAATAGTTATATCAATAATAGTGCATTATTATATTTAAAGGCAATCATTTAATTTTCTTAATGCATAAATAAGTTTTCCCTTTCAAACCTGACGGTCTATGGGGCAAGTGAAGTAGAGTTCACTTGTTTCTTTGACCTCGGCATATGAAGAGATAACGTGAGTTTGGTACCCATCAGAGTTGGGTGGACTCAGGGACGGTCTTCTGGCTTGAACCCGGATTCGACTCGAGACTTACGGGATAGCAGTCCAGCTCTCTACCGCTAGACCACTCCGTCCCTAATGCATAAATAAAATCTAATTATTATACATTTATCTGTTTTATTACTTAGATGTGGAACATGTAATTTAACTCCTAAACAACAGGGTTATCTTTCATAGTTAAGGGGAGACAACTTGTTATTATTTTGATGTTTGTTTCAGGCCATTATCAATCCTGTTCACATTCTACTAAAGATTTGTTTCTGGCCTTGTAAATCTTATTTCTCTTTTTTAAATTGCTGTTGACAGCTTGTTTTGTTCATGTTATCTGGGTACAAAGGAACCTATATATTTCTCATGAATATTCGGCGAATACAGGGGAAGCACCTAATTCACATTTTCTTTTGATTTAAACAACACCCACGTTCTCAATTGATGGACTAACATTGACACGCACATAATTTTATTTCTTTCTGTTAATTTAACACATTAGGCTGCTCTATGAAAGAACATGTCAGAAAGAAGTATTACTTTTCTGAATCTTGTATCAGTACTCACAAGCCGATAATGAAAACTGTAATACTAAAGCGAACATGGCAAGGCAAACTGACGCTGTAAATTAAATGTCTGAGGAAGAACAAGACAATTTGTTTAAATAAAAAAAGAAATAACTAAAGTCGAGTTTAGTAACTGTATTATTTTACACGAAAAAAATAGGGTGGGGGGCTTCGATAAACTAGCTTACATCTAGAAATGCTATGGAATATCAGGGGTAAAGGTTTATGGAAGTGGTATAACGTTATGGATTTGGGTTGGGGGGTGGGGAGTTCAAATGTGCTCAAACCCTATGGCTTTGGTGATCATAAGGTTAAGCTTAAATTTGGGTCAGTAATTATAATAATTAACGCAGGTTTCACATATCTAAATGTTGTTGGAAAGTACAAAAACATCGTCTTTTACAAGTGGAACATTAATAATCATTAAGATGTTTTTTTAACAGCTTTGAACTCTTGTCATATTGAAGCATGTTTATTAGATATTGATAAAAAAAATGAAGCTCAAACAAAGAGCATGAAAACATCTAATCCAATATTTATTGAGCGCTTGCATTAATAACCTTATTAACAAAGTGCTTGTCTGAGTGCTAGGCGAGCCAGACGATTGGTTCGCATTTTACCCTGACATGGAGTTGACGTTAAGTGGCCATTTTGACCGATTCAGCCGCCGCCTTCTTTTGTGTGATCGACTCATGTTGGATGAGAATACAACTGCTGGTAGTCCCGAATGCTTGGCTAATTGGACAGTAGGATTGGTAGGCCATCTGGACGGTGCGATTCCTTAGCCAACTGGACAGTACAGTTGTTTGGTCGAACTAACCATTGGTTTACGAATGGTTGGCCAACAGAACGGTGCAATTCCCCTGCCAACTGGACAGTATGATTGAATGGCCAACTGCTGTACGGTTGGTTGGCCACCTTGAAAGGCCAACATGACAATACGATTGCCTGGCCAATATAACAATCATGGATGTTATAGCCGGCTTTAAACGGCACTATAGGAAAATGTACCTTACAATCAACATATATATCAATATATATATATATATATATATATATATATATATATATATATATATATATATATATATATATATATATATATATATATATATATATATATATATATGAAAATGGCACCAGACGACGACATGTTCACCCCAGTCTATCGACCCCTCTGATCACATGGGCGTCACCATCCTGCCGTAGATCGAATGCTTCCAGTAATGTGGAACGTAATCAGCGATAACCTAATTATAACCAGTCTCTCAACTCCATCTTGTCAGCCTAGCTAGCTGGTAAAAGCCAATCATACGGATACAGTGATGGTGAATGTAATCTTATAGTCCAGCAGTTTAACAGTGTCTCGTCAGCCGAGCTTGCCCGTGAGGTCTTTGTATACCATCCCGTGACTAGTAATGTGACCCGTAATGCAGGTCAGGTTCGGTCATACGATATAGGGTGGTTATTACGACCCAGGCTCTCTACGGACAACACGTTCTGAGGTTCGCTGAGTAATTTTATTTGAACAAAAAATAGTGAATATTGAAATTTAAGTCTATTTCGGACTTTGCCAATATTTGGTTATTCTGAAATTTTGGAGAATATATACTGCCTTTTGCATTGTTTGAAAACAAGTCAACCTTTTCCATTATTTTTTCCCAACTGATTTTTTATTTGTTGTTACCCCCCCCCCCCCCTCTTTTTTAGATCAGCCTGTCAATAGGACTATCGAAGTAGAGTTAATCTGTTTGTGACTATGCCTAGCCGCCTTTACTTTCACTGAGTCAGGTACCCATAAGAGCTGAGTGGACTCAAGGACGTCTTTCGTAGTCCGGGATTCGAACTCGAAACTTTAGGAGTAGCAGTCGTGCTCTTTACCACCCAAAATCGCGGATAAAGTTGTTTTTATTTAAATTTCAAAACTTTATATAACCCGTATAATCTAAACAACGTGTACAGACTTAACTATTCTTCCTCCTGCTCTTTATCAACTGATGTATCACATCCCACTCCACAGAACAGACTTACCCACCTCCTCTCAGCCAGACCGAACCATGGGGGAGGCAGCGGACTCGGACAAACTCTTTGATGACGTCTACGAGTTTTGTGAAACCATCGGAAAGTAAGTACTCACCCACCTGCATTATAACACCTGTCCCCACTGTCACCCTTATTGTAACACCTGTCCCCGCTGTCACCTGTATTGTAACACCTGTCCCCGCTGTCACCTGCATTGTAACACCTGTCCCCACTGTCACCTGTATTGTAACACCTGTCCCCGCTGTCACCTGTATTGTAACACCTGTCCCCACTGTCACCTGTATTGTAACACCTGTCCCCGCTGTCACCTGTATTGTAACACCTGTCCCCGCTGTCACCTGTATTGTAACACCTGTCCCCACTGTCACCTGTATTGTAACACCTGTCCCCGCTGTCACCTGTATTGTAACACCTGTCCCCACTGTCACCTGTATTGTAACACCTGTCTCCGCTGTCACATGCATTGTAACACCTGTCCCCACTGTCACCTGCATTGTAACACCTGTCCCCGATGTCACCTGCATTGTAACACCTGTCCCCGATGTCACCTGCATTGTAACACCTGTCCCCACTGTCACCTGCATTGTAACACCTGTCCCCACTGTCACCTGCATTGTAACACCTGTCCCCGCTGTCACCTGCATTGTAACACCTGTCCCCCACTGTCACCTGAATTGTAACACCTGTCCCCGCTGTCACCTGTATTGTAACACCTGTCCCCACTGTCACCTGCATTGTAACACCTGTCCCCATGTCACCTGCATTGTAACACCTGTCCCCGCTGTCACCTGCATTGTAACACCTGTCCCCATGTCACCTGCATTGTAACACCTGTCCCCGCTGTCACCTGCATTGTAACACCTGTCCCCACTGTCATCTGTATTGTAACACCTGTCCCCGCTGTCACCTGCATTGTAACACCTGTCCCCACTGTCATCTTTATTGTAACACCTGTCCCCACTGTCACCTGCATTGTAACACCTGTCCCCACTGTCATCTGTAACTAACCCTCGCACGAGCTGTGTATGTACCCGTACTAACACGTTCTTAGGTTTTCAGCCACCTTCATCTGGATGTTCTGTATCACGTCAAAGACAGCCTCTCCCGGAAAGTAAAATCGTGTAAAGTTTTTGGATATGCAATGGTTTCAGCTATCTTGTCATCTGGTCTTACATTCCACTTACCTATTTTTTTTTTTTGGTGAATTTTTCCACTCCACCCCTCTCCCCATCGTCACACATGGGCACCACAAATCGAAACTTCCACCATAAATGACGTCGTACTTTAGCCTAACCTACACAGAAAATGTCTGAAAGAAACCTTTGATTGGAACTTTATGAATATTATATCGTGGCAACCCGTTTTCAGTACGCTGTAACAAGACAGCTGATGAATATGATTATATGTCAGCAACATTATAGACAGTACCCCAAGATCAAATTCTATATAACTATAAGTCTTCACATTTTCAAATGTTATTGTAAACATTTCCACAAATACAATGCTCTGTACTATAATCTAATTGTTAATTGTTCAACATAAAAGATGATCCTGGTGCATAAATACAAATTCTTGTTAGATTCATAATATAATATATATCTCAACGAAGTCTGTGTGTAAGTAGAAATACATTTTGCCGTGTGAACGAAAGGAAGCGACGTCTTGTAGGTGTTATAACTGTACAGGTACCTGCTTTAGTCCTGCCTGGGGCTCTCTAGTCTGGCGCCAGACTTGACATGATTGATGCTGAACGACATAGATGTGTTACTTTTACCGATTGTAACCATCTGCTTTTAGTAAAAATGATTCCACGCTATACCTTGTACAGTTCAAAGTAAAATATCTACTTGTGATATTTTTATTTTTTAATATAATTATTAACGTAAACAAAATGTAATGTATAGAACTGCTTTGAAATAAGTCATATTTGCCTATTTTACTACGGCATTCTTTCTTTATGGACATCACCGGCCCAGGAGGTGTCTCCCATTAGCCTCAACACGGCAAACTTCGACTAACTGGCTTGGATATCAGTTTGATGACCGTGTATCGGTCGCTTCTGTCCGTCGGTTCTCACCAGGTTTATTTTCCACCCCACTGAACGCAGAGTAAACTCGTACCCGCAACGACCAGTACCCAAACCACCACTGCTAAACGAAATGATTTCAAGTGTAAACATACCTTTACCAGCTACCAACACTTGTCCGCTCTGTCCCTCTATTTCCAGGTTTTTAAGAGACCATTTAGTCTCCTTGTATCTGATCTGTAGTACACGGTACTGTAGACACAATAATCTCTACTTAGTGTTTTGTGTTTGTATTTACTTAATAGTAGGCACAACAATATAACTGTTGAAATTGTTTGTCCTTTTCCTCTAATGACATATTTCTTAATTAATAAACTAATTGAAAACCAGATATATTTGCCAGACTGATTAAAAGCATGCGTGTTCTAGGTATATAATTTTGTTTTTATAGAGACTTATTGCAAGAATTCTAAACATGTTTTATGTTAATTCAGAGGCGTAGCGACCCATCCCGGCGCCCGGGGACAAACTTTCGATTTGCGCCCCCCCCCCTCGAACTTTTCATTTGCACCCCCCCCCCCCTCAAACTTTTAATTTGGCGCCCCGCGCCCCCGTAAAGTCGGCGCCCAGGGACATATGTCCCCCCGCCCCCCCCCTCGCTACGCATCTGTGTTAATTGTTATGAAGCAATTTTGGCCAGACCCTCTGTCCTTTAAATGATGTTGTACAGCCCCTGTATACTTTAAGCAATGTTGACAAAGTGGGGTTTGTCAGCCCCTGTATCCTTAAAGTGGCGTTGGTCATCCCATCTATCCTTAAAGTGGTGTTGGTCAGTTCCTGTATCCTTAATGTAGTGTTGCTCATCTCTAATATCACCGAAGCGCTCCGTACAGGTCAACAGTAATCTAACCAAAAGAGCAACATTTCACTCGATTTTTTTTTCACCAGCCGTGAAAGCATGTTTTGCTTGCATGAGAAGAAGGACTGAATAATGTATCAGTTCATTTAGCTGAGAACAACTGTGGATGGTACCCTACGTATAAGAAACTACTCTTTGATTCTAAGTTTGCATTTCGCTTATTTTAACCCCCCCCCCCTTTTTTTTTTGCGCAACTTCAGCAAAAACGATATAATTATAATTTCTTAATTGTGTGTGTGTGTGTGTGTGTGAAAGAGTGGGTTGTTAATTTTTTTTGTAGTCGATTACATCCCCTCCCCTCCGTCACATATCGTCACAAAAAGCCTAAAAATGACGTCACACCTCAGCCTCCCCCCCTCTCAAAATTGCAAAAGTAACGTCAAACTATTTTTGAGGAGGGAGGGGTAAACCTTCACCCCTCCCCCTCATCCCATATTGTCACAAAATTACAGACCCCTTCCCTCCCCCCCCCCCATGCACCAAGACCTGTAGTTTCCAACATGTGGTCATTTTGTATGCAGAAATCAATAGACGCGAATCTCTTGAGAAGATGAAGAAAAAAGACAATTATATTGTTTTTCTTGCTACTACCCAAAATACTGGAGCTTCAATACGGTGCTGAGTCAAGATTTCACTCAGTTTGTTCCAATGTTAGGATCATATTAGGGACTACAGTTTATTTGTAAGTTGGCTCAGGAAATGGTAGGAATAGGATTAGGTTTGATTTAAGATTAGGTGCCGACACTAGCCTTAGGTAGTCCAAACTGGCGAAAAAGTGCGTTTTAGGGTCAGTTTTTGCGGTTTTCAAAAAAAAAATTTCACTACTTCTAGTTGTCCTATAAGAATAAAAATTATATGTCAATAAAGTTTAAGTCTTTATCTGTCGTAATCTGGTATTTTTATATCTGTAACACATGTTTGAATGTGTTTTATATTTGTTTGAAAAGTATCAGTTACGTCAACAAATTTCACCGTTTTGCGTGTACCGATCGACCCCACACTGTTTTATTTGGTCGCGGCTTCGCGACGAAGCATCGTAGAAGCATAATCTTAATGTCATTTTAAAGATCGAATTCTAGGCTATCGTTTGATGTATAAATTGAAAAAATAACTTGTTTATTTCATTTAAAAAATACAGATTTTAAACTTTAAATGACGATATATACACGGAAACAAACTAATTCTGTTTCAATTTTTACACCGATGTAAAGTTCAGTTTTATAACTACTTTGTGTTGTAAATTCAAGTATTTCTGATTTACGGTCGCGAAGCCGTACCCCCAATAAACATATAACCCTCGAGTCGACTTTCAGCCCCGAGTAAGTTGCTCGCCGAACGGTTTTAAAGGTTGACGACCGATGATGCTAAACGGATTTTACCCTTGCTAGAGCCTTCAAACAAGTTGTAAGTACCATTTTAAAATTTTCATTTCCATTTTAATAAATGAATTTTAAGTTTGAATGTCAGTTTGGTTTAATTAGTACACGTTATTAATGTAAATTTGAACTCTAATAGTCCACGGTTTCTTGCGTGTGAACTACGCTTGTACACAGGGTGTGTTTAGACGTGAAGCTATTTAATTCAGGACATTCTAGGGACTTAAAATATGGATGCACTTAACTATTAGATGCTAGTGTTTACTAATTCTTTAAAATCTATCGAACAGGATTAATGATAGGGTCGTATTACTGCAGTTTATCTGGACTATCACGTCAAAATTATGAATCGACAAATTCAAAATGGCCACCAGACGATCCTGGTAACTATGTGGACAAACTCAATTATTTACAGGGAACGAAGGTTAAATACTTATAAAATATTAATGAAACACAAAAGAAATGTATAATTAAAATAACTACACATTTTTATTGATTTATTTAAAACAAAAGACACTAAATTTTAAGGACTAATGTGATTAATTTTTTTATTTTCTGTTGTGCACTATGATTCTGATTCCCCTGCTAAATAATGTGAAATGGTCTGCGCCAGTCTCCGTAGTAAAATATACCAGATCAATTTTTAGATGGTGGTGCAATTTATTAAGATTCTACATGTTGTGACTTAGTTTTAAATGTTATATTAGTTGTAAGTGTAAGTAGTACTAGTAGTATTTCTCATTATTTATTTATTTTATATG